CTGGCTTGGGAGCTGGGTTATGTACTGACGTTCTGGTCCATTTCTATGGATGCACAGGCTCAGCATCATAGCAGGCTGGGACTGATCCAGCCCAGAGCAAGATCTCATCATACCCAATGGCTAGCAGTAACCACACGAAGATGAACCCCAGTGTATTACCAACAGCAGAAAGAAACACTGGATTAACAACAGGCTCTTTGCAGAACTTGTCCCACATCACTCCTCCTCTGGAAATCCTCCTGCACGTCCCAGGCAGCACCCCAGCCCACCCACAGCGCACACCCCGCCCCACCTCCTTCACAAGCACCAGGGAGCATCTCGTGCTCAGACATGCACTTAGGATAAACTCAAATTAGTGATCTCAATACTCATCCTGGCAATATGTCTGCTCTCACAGTGGAGGGGATATAAAGACATGGGGAAATGCAGCAGAGGGGGGTTTCTCCAACACCCCTGTCCACGCAGACCAGGTCTCCAAACCCAGCAGATCAATCAGATCCTTCCACTCTCAGCAAACTCCCACCTGCACTCAAGATTGCATTAGGACTGAGATGAGGGCAGTTTTGCTTCTCCAAAGAGAACAGAGCAGCTGTGTTGGTGTGCCCTGCTCGTGGCACCATGCACATCCACACAGCCCTAAATCTGCTGCCCACAAAACCTCTCTTCTCAGCTCTGTCTTCTTAGGCATGTTTATGCTGTAGCTGTAAATAAAAGCAGAGCTTTCCAAGAATCAAAGCAAAGTGCCTGGAAAGATTACAGACTAATTATCACCATGAAACCTCAAGCCTAAAACCATAACGATGGACTCTAATATTTATTACAGACAGGCTTACATGGCATTGCCCCAATTCTTCCTGGATGCAAAACTCACTGACTGCAGTCAGAGGAGTACAAACTTGCTGGTCTGCATCACATAGGGCTCCCACACAACCCAGCACTTCCTCTATGTTCTGGACAAAGGTAAATGCTGCTCCAGAGAAAGGGGCAAGAACTTCATTAACGAGAGATCGCAGAATAATTTGTGCCTCGGAGAAAACTGCCTCTAGCTCTATCAGACATGGCTCTGCTTTGCCATGAAACTCATATCCATCTTATACAAACATTTCTATCTAGTACTTATTATCATCAGAGAAGTGTATTACAACCTTGGCTTTGGCTTACGACAGCAAGAAGTGACATCACCTCACCCTAGCAACTGACTGACTTTTTTCCTGTTTTTCCTTCCTCTTCCAGCCCACTCCTAGGGATGGGAGCAGAGCAGCATGGTCTCATTGCTACCTACTAGTGAGAGCCCTACAGCTCCACAGCTGTATTGGTGGGCAGGAAAACCTGCACCATTTCTTCACTGCCTGCAATCACAGCTGCCCCAGAGCCATTCCCACTACAGCGTGCATCCAAGGAAAGCCCAGAGCTTCCTGAGCTCCAGAGCTCCTCAGCAAAGTACTTGTCTTCAAGGTCTTTGCCATCCCACATCCATCTCTTACTGCAAATGAATAGCTCATTTATGGGAAATGCAGTCTAATGTGACGCTGATCCATTTGGTTGCAGAAGGACCCTGCACAGATTTCACTCAGATGTTCCTTTCATCATTCCTACTGCTGCCAACCCAACCCATGGCATACCCCTGCTCTCATGCTGCAGAGTAAATTCAGACTGAGCTGCAGCTATGTGAAAGCACTTGCTCTGTGCCCACCAGACACTGCCCTTAGTGCCAGGAGATGACCCCATGCAGCAGCAGCCCCAGCAGCAGTGCATGGATACAGAGCATCTTCCCTGGCACCCCCAGTACTGCACAGCTGGGATCCCAGCACAGCTCACACTGCACGTTTACATTTAAGGCACTGCTTGCACAAAAAGCCACCAGCCCTGCTTGCTAACTGGGTGAGCTCATTCCCTGGTCCAGCTGAAAGCTGTAGAGCACAACAATAACAGGAAGAAATTATTTGTGCAGGACTCACACCATGCCACGTAAACTCCCTGGCTGCTGGGGGGACAGAACCTTGCTGGTGAGCACAGCGGCACCGCAGGGATGTGGCACTCAGGGCCCAGCAGCATCCCGTGTTGTGTCACACACAATGGGCGTTTTTAATGAGCATGACTGAAACGAGGCAGCTTTAAACTCATTAATGGCTCTCCTTGGCTCTAGTTGGCCTCAGTGCAGCATTCTGAGACATAAGCCATAGTCCCTGTCTTGGACCCAGCACAGCTCCGCTCCACTGCCTAATGGTTGGACAAGATGATCTTAATGACTTTAATGACTCTATGATTCCACTCATCACTGCACAAAGCACTTCGGAGAAGCCTGACCAAGAACCACACTCTCCTACACAAGTGGGAGAAAATCCAGTGATGGGGAGGGGAGGGCCAGGTCTGAGGAGGTGACAGGGTAAGCATCCCCACTACAGAGCTCCCCAGCCTTCCTGCTGCCATGCCATGAGTGGTACCCAAAGATCAGATGTCAGCTGCAGCACGCAGGGTGAGGAAAAAGGGTTTTGCAACCTGGGTGCTGTGGGTATCACTGCCAGCATCTAAGCCACAGAGATTCATTCGGGGGAAAAAAAAACAAAAACACGGAGCGCAGAGATTTCTGCACTGCTTGGATGGGAAACAGGCACAGAGGGGTTTAGGTGTCTGTCCTCAGTACTGCAGTGCAGGCAGACACAGGGGTGCCATCCCAAACGCTGTGTTTTGGCATCCCAGCAGCAGGGCCAGATGCACCACCCCTGAGCAGCACCGCACCCAAACTCTGCCTTCACTCCGAGTTCCTTCACCCCGAGGATTCCCATGAACAATCCTAGCAGTGTCACAGGGGTCACGGCTCAAAGCACTGCCGGCAGCATACCCTGAGTACCCCACAACATCCTTTTAAAGCTCATTTTAGGATGTGAGCAAAGCCGAGCCCTCCTCTTGCCCCAAACAATAGCTTTGCAGTAATGCTGCAACCAGAATTTCCTGTGCCGCGGTGCGCGCCAGCTCCAGGCAGCAAACACCATGGGAAGAGCTGCCACAAGAAAGGCACTCTGCAGCACCAGGCAATGTCCCTGCGGCTCCTGGGGATGCTTTTTGCTACAACAGATCCCAGAGCAGCATCACAGCCAGGCCGGAAAGCAGGCAGACCGCAGCAAGGGCTGGCAGTCTGGGAACGGCTGTGGCTAATGAATTACTGCACAGAGCCCTTTGCGACGTGTGGACGTGGCTGTTGGCTCAGCAGGCACAAACCCAGCGTGGGACATAGTGAGGGATCCATGTGGATCACAGTCCCAAGCAAAAAAAGAAAAAAAGAAATCACACAGGTCTACTGGCTTCCAGGATTTGAGAAGATGCAGAGAGAACTATTAGCCAAACAATAATGGACCAAACCAGCATCTCCAGCCCAGGTGCAGCCAGACCCTGCTCCAGGTTTGGGAGCTTCCCATTCTTCCACCCTCCAGCACTACTAATGCAGGTCTCATCAGGACACATTTGCAGCACAGGGAGAGGAGAATGGGCACCCAGCACTGCCCTGCTATCTGTGCCTCCCCAGCCCCACCTATAGTACTTGTCATCAACTACTGGCATCCTTTCTTTCTCTCTACATGAGGGGGCAGAAACCATTTCTTCCACACTCGAGGCCCCAGAGTTACTTCTACAGCTGAAACCAGCCAAAGCAAACACACCAAACACAGATGTCACCTTCCATGCCAGCAGCACCATCCTCGCACCACACATTGGTGCCCTCCCAGCCAACGCAGTTGGGCAACTCTTACTCCAATGATGGCTCCCTGAGCTGAGGGCTGTGCTAAGAGGAGCACACAGCAGCATGCAGCCCTCTGTAACTCATGCCACAGGTGCACAGGGTCCTGTGGCCACAGCACGTGTGCAGCCAGCAGTGGGATGGGCTTCTGCCCACACCTCTGCTGCACAGGGCAACTTCACAGTGCCCATCCCATGTGTGGCCAAAATTCTCCACCATGTCCTCAAAGTGCCCCATCTGCAGCTCAGGTTGGTGTTGTAATGCACAGATACAGCCCTCGTAACTCTGTCACTTTATGGGAAATTAATGCTGTCAGCACCAAGCAAATGAGCAAACCTCTGCTCTGCAGACAGCTGCAGTAGGTTTGGCTGAAGAAGGACAAATACAACAATCTGAAATGAAAACACCCCACACAAGTGGGAACCAGCAGTGCTGCTGCCTTGTGACAGCACACATGGCCGTGGTGCCATCCCCTCTGCCTGCATGCGAACCCCACTACTGAGGGGGGCCTTTCTTCAGGCAGGGCACAGCATTATCCCATACAGCAGCCCACTGGGATGTGCCCTGAGCGGGCAGCAGACCCAAGCCCAGCCCAGAACCCTCCAGGAGCCTCCCACCAACACAAGGCCCTACCACATTGCTGCTCCCCCTGCCCAGCAGCAGCACCTCCCATCCACCGTCAGCCCTGCAGCACAGAAGTGCCCATGAATGGGGCAGCACTGCCCCGAGCCCCACATTCCCACTACAGGCAGTCGTCTTGCAGCAGAAATTGTGCACCTCCAGGGCTGGGCTCCCCAACTCAACTTAGCACTTTTTATGGAGTCATGGAACTGTTTGAAGTGGAAGGGACCCTTAAAGGCCTTCCCTCCAGCCCGCAATAAGCAGGGATGCCTACAGCTCCATCAGGAGCCCAGAGCCCATCCAGCCTGACCTTGAGCTCCACGGATGGAGCACCACCACCTTCTCCGGGCCATTGCCTCACCACTCTTATTGTAAAAAACTTCCTCCTTACTTCCCATTTAAATCTCCCTCTTTCAGTTTAAAACCATTTCCCCTCATCCTATCACAACAGACCCCGCTGAAGGGTCTGTCCCCTCCTTTCTTACAGCCCCATCCCGTACCCCAGCGCTCCGGAGCCGGGGCAGCGAGCAGTTCCGGAGTTGTTGGGTTGGGGGAGGTACGAGTGTCTGGGCAGCGCCGGGAGGGATACAACGCTGAGCCCGGACTTCGAGCAGCTGGGAGAGGTGGGCACAGCGCTGCGCCCCACCTGGGACGGGTAGCGGTGAGTCATAACCCAGTTCCCACGCAGCTCCCGCTGGAGTACACCCAAAGCTGAGCTCCTCCAAACACGAGCGCAGGATGCCCGTCCTGCGGCACCCCCGTTGAGCGTCTGTCGCTCATAACCGGTTCGGCTTTATGGTGTCAAAAAGGACGCTTCACGGTTCCCACCCCGCCGCCGCAAAGGAACACCGCGTTACGAAGCCCCCGCTTACCTCAGCGCACGGCCCCGCCGCGGCACGGTGCCGGCCCGCGACCCGCCGGAGCCGGGAATTGAAACGGTTGAAAGTGAACTTAAAATGGAAAAAAACAAAAGAAAAAGAAAAAGAAAAAGAAGGAAAAAAAGAAAAGCAATAATAATAATAAAAAAAAGTGATAGTGCTATTTAGTCCAAACAAAAATAAAAATTACCAAAAAAAAAAAAAAAAAAGTCGGACGAAGGGGGGTGCCCGTGCCATGCACGCGGGCCGCCCCCCCCGGACCGCCTCTCGCCGCCGTTGCCCGGCGCCCCCCCGCAGCGCTCCGGGACCGGCCCGGGACCCGTCGGCCCCAGCACCGGCCCCGGCCCCGCGGGCGGAGCGCTCAGGGAGCGGCGCGGTGCGGCCCGGAGGGGCCGAGGGCGGCCCCGGGGGGCGGCGGGCGCCCGCGGGCAGCGGGGCGCGGGGGACGCCCGGCGGGGCCCGGAGAGGGCCGCGGAGCTCCGCCGCCTCCGCGCATCCCCCGCTGCCCCGTCCCGTCGGGGCCCGCCCGGCGCCGGCCGCCGCCGCTCGCGGGGAAAAAAAAGAAAATAAAAATTAAAAGCAAATAAATGATAATAGAAATAAATAAGTCAAATTAAAAGGAAATTAAAGAAATTGAGTTGTTTCAAAAGTCTCGAGCTGGATACGAACGGCAGCCCAGACGGAAACTTCCCGCGGCGGTGCGGTGCGGCCACCCGTCTCTTCCCCCTCCTCCTCCTCCTCCTCCTCCTCTCCGCCGCCCGCAGCGTGCGCGGCGCCGCCCGGCCCGGGGGAAGCGCGGGGGAGGCTCCGCACCACCCCGCGCCCGAGGCTCTGCCGGCGGGGCCCGGCCGGGACAATCGGAGGAAGTGCGGCCGCCTCTGGGCCGCTGGGAGCGCTTCCCACGTGCGGGAGCGAGCGGTTCTACCGTGCCCAGCGCCGGGCTGCGAGCTCCGTCAGGTTCAGCCGGGATCCTCCGCGGGGCTGCCCTCAGCGACGGCTCTCTTTCATCTTCTCCGTACGGCTGTGAGCACACCTGGGCTAAGCGCGGTCCCTCGGCTTGGCCGCGCGCACGGAGCCGCTCGTTAGGAACGCACTCGTGACGGCCCGCCATCCCAGCCCCGCCGGGCTCCCACTGCGGCCAAGCTCCTGTTTCCACCCCACAGAGGCCCCGGGCAGCACGGGCCGAGCACTCGGTGAGCGCACAGCTCTGAACCCCGTGAGCACAGCTCTGCTTTCGGTCAGCGCCCGGCCTGGGGACGCGCCTATACGGATGAGCACGGCCGTCTGGTCAGCCCGTGCACCTCATAGCAGCTCCCAGACCAGGTGCTCCCTTCCTCTGCTGAACCAACCCCTGCCAACAGCTGCATTAAATGAGCCGCAGGTGCAGCTCACTGAGCAGTTCATTTCCCCATAACTGGCTGCAGGGGGTGCTGGGGTCAGGGTTGCCGAGCGTTGGAGTAGGAGTGGAAGGACCTCGAGTGCTTCTGTGCTGTAGTTGGAGTAATTCAGGGCCTCCTTAGCTGCTTTTGGACTGTGCGGGAGGAGGAAAAAAAAAAGGTAAATAGAGGACTGGGGAATGAGCCATTGGGGACTCAGGTCCAACTGCCTTGGCTGTGTGGTTTTGTGTGGGCTCAGAGGAGCATGGCTCTGCTCTGGTTTCAGGACGAGCACTGAGTGACTGCTCATAGTGGGGGCTGTGCCTGCAGCTCTGGGCACGCGCAGGGCTGTGGAGCCAAGGGCAAAAATCAGTGGTGGAGTTGAATGAATTTTGCTTTGAACGTCACTTAGCAGTCACCACTGACTGCACCAGTGCTGCCTGACTCCCCCAGCATCCCTAATGACTGAGGGAGAGAACAAACACCAGGCAGATGCAGGGCGAAGCTGGCAGCCTTTGGGGACTGTGACTCCACCACCTCCCTGAGCAGCCTGTGCCAGCACTTTGCCTCTCTTTGTGAAAATAAATTTGCCCTAATATCCAACCTGAACCTCTCTGGAGGTTCTCGCACGATGTGTGCACTGAAATCAGCGAAATTGTGACATCCCCACATTCTCTTTTGGTCCAGCTGCTTTGGGCTCCTTGGGGAACTTCCCTGTCTGCCGTCCCGGAGAGGAGCACACTTCCCCACTCCTCATTTATTTAGCTCATGAGGACTCAGCACGGCAGGCTTTGCCGTCTCTATAATTCCACAAGGCGGGGACTCGCTGGGAAGCAGCTCAGACCTCAGCAGCCCTTTGCTCTCTATTTGCCGCTCCTGGAAATCCGCGCTGTGCTGCAGCGCGTTGCCCCGGAGCGGACCGACCTGCAGCCCCAGCAGAGCCGCGGGAAGGGAGCAGGGCAGGGCAGGGCCCAGCCGCTCGGGGGACACACTTCCACCTATTGGCTCCATTTCCTTCGCTTCCTCCGGCCCCGGCCGTTATTAATTAAGAACTCACAGCCGCACAGAGCAGCCGGCAGCACCGCGAGCATCTCAGAGGGGTCTGGTTTGTTTTATAGAAAAAGTTGGCTCAGGACCACCTCCCCGAGTGAGGCTGTGCCGACACAAGTCACGGGTCCCGTCCCACTGGGGGCTGCAGCCTCCTCCCTCCTGGGCACGGGGCTCCCCTGGCTCCAGTGCCCCCAGATTGGGGCTGCGAGCTCTTTTTTGTCTGATTTCTTGTTGTTCTTTCTTAAAGGAACAATAGTGAGCGGCACACCTCCCTCCCAGGCTTGGTGCAACTCCAGATTTCACTTTTTTTTCAAGCTTCACACCATGAAGCACTTTATTATTGGAAGCAAGCAATTTACCCAAGAAGAAATAGGACCAAGCAGAGCATCGCTGCACCCCTCAGCACGTAGCGCACAGCCCCGCAGCAGGAGGGGTTGCTCTACTTTGCCCACCTTTGGGGCTCTGGCTGCTCTCCATGCCTGGAAACCTTCCCGCACACTTCCTGAACCCAGGGATAGCAGGGAGGCTTCATCAGACAGCGCTTGGAGCAAGAACAAAAGCCACCGGCCTTGTGCAGTTCTATAAAGGATGGTTTTATTTCTATACAGGGCATCCGGTACAGAACACCCCTTCCCCAGACACAAGGCTCTGCCTGGCCCCCCAGCACCCATCTGTTTTTTGCACTGGGTGGCCCAAAGGCTGGGAACAACTGTGAGGCTGGTAGTGCACTCAAGGTGGCCAGGTGTGGGCTATGCCTGGGAGGGAACCAGTACCCCAGCTGGGATTGAATGGGCTCCTGGGCCCACAGGGGTGGGTGTGGGACACAGGTGGGGCTGCTCAGGGCCATTAAGGGCCATCAGTGCCTTGGGACTGTGACAGCCTGGCTTCAATGCTGTCCTGCTGGAAAGCAGGAGGTGGGGCGGGATGCAGCACAGGTAACAGCAATAGGGCGGGATGTGATGGCCTCAAGTTGCACCAGGGGAAGTTCAGGGTGGATAATAGGAAAAATTTCTTCTGAGAGTGGTGAGGCAGTGGCACAGGCTGCCCAGAGAGGTGGGGGAATCACCATCCCTGGAGCTGTTCAAGAAAAGGGACAATGTGGCACTGAGGGATGTGGTTAGTAGGCACATGGGGATGGGCTGATGGTTGGACTTGGTGATCTTAGAGGTCTTTCCAACCTTAATGATTCTGTGGTTCTGTAATGAATCCCAGCCCTCACTCTGGTCCCCTGTGGAGATGGCAGCAGGGAAGCACAAACTCTCCTTTGCCCTCAGAGGCCAAATCTATGCACGGTGCCCATGGAGCAGCAAATGAAGACCAAGCGTGGGGAGAAAAAAAAGGTTTGGAGAAAGAAAGGAGCGCAGAGATCCAAGCTTGCCCCATCCCACACAAGTGGTGATGGCGGAGGAGCCCGGCCCCAAGCTGCAGAACTGATCTGCTGGGACCAGGGTGCTCAGGCTCCAGTCTTTTTGCTACAGGTTCCATTCACTGCAGTAATAAAACACATGCCCAAAAAACCTGCAAAATTCATAAACAACATCTGTGAGGTTCGAGCTCCATCAGATTCAGTCTCTGTTATTTTCCTTCTTGCACACCACACCGATCAAGCAAGGAAATCCCCATTTATCTCTCCTAAGATTTGTTTCCCCAAGTTCTGTTTTTCAAAGTCAGCCTTAATCACTTTTTAATCATATCTGATGCCTCTTTGCCTTTGGTATTCCGTAATCCTGGAGATGCTCCCCACTGCACAGTCAGGTCTGCCACCCCCAGCCCCAGGTCCCATTAAACCAACGCATCCTTCATGCTGGTGGCTGCTCCGGCTCCAGAAGACAGCAGAGAAACTTAACACTGCTGCGGCTGCTCAAAAGCCAAAGCAGAGCTCAGAGGAGGGCATAGTGGGGCTTCCTCACCTGCTCATCTTTCCTCCTGCAGAGTGGTTGCAGTGCAGTTTCTTGAGGAACCCAGACCCACATTCATCAGGTCTCTTTCAACAAAGTTCTGCCTAAAACTGTTCCTTATTTAATGAATGGCAACACGTGGGCATCTAATTGCCCTTCTTTCATCTTCCACCCAGGAAAGCACACCTCACAATCCCATACCTATTACTTCTTAGGTGCAATCCCAATGCTGTGTTGTGGCGTTGGCTTTTGCTGTCCCATTGCCACACCTCTGCAAGCAGCTGAGTGATTTGGTGCTGCTCTGCCATGGAAGAGCCATGGAGGTGTGGGGGCTCCTTGGGACACATGCTAAGGGGAGTTTTGATCTCTTCCATCTCTCTGGTCTGCATTCAGGGGACAGGGTGACACTGGAAAGAATGGAGCATCCCATTCCATTCCATCCCATACTACCCCTCTTGAAATATTTTTACTATTATTTTTATTATTATCCTTGGTAGGCTGCAATTTCCTTCTGTTCTTCCTCCTTCTGCTCCTGTGTCAGTCACAGTACATTGTCACCCTCACCCCAGGGTGACTGGACCCCATGCTGTTCATCCCTGAGCCCACCCTGCAGGGACCCAATGGGGCTCCTGAGAGGAATACTGGGGAAAGCCACTTGTTATTCCCCCTTTAGGAGCTTCCTAGCATGATCCTCAAGGCTTATTTTGATGGTCTCTGGGAAGTCCTCTCCATACATACCCCAGAGAGCAGATTGCAGGGAGTGACATGGCCAGGGGGTGCCTGATCCTTGGGTTGGAGCTGAGGTGATGTTGTCCTGAAGCTCTGGGCAAGTGCTGTGAGCAGTTCTGCTGGGAGCACAAAACAGGATGCCTTCTGCTTTAAGCCTCTGTAAAAGAAAAATGAAGCCAAAAGTTACATGGGATGGATATCTGAAGTAATAATATTGTGGCTGTGGTGCTGCTGCTCGGATGGCTTTGGGAAACGGGACACGTTTTCAGGTTGCAGAGAAGAGAGGACCCAAAGCCCTCTGTGCCCCGGGGCAGAGCGGGTCCGGGGGTGGCACTGGGCTGAACGGGTCCCCGGTGCCCTCTGGTGCGGGAGCACAACGCAGCGTGGGCATCACGGGATGGCACGGGAGCTTATTCTCCTCAAAACGGATCTTCGCTCCAACTGCAGAGATCTGAGCGCCTTATGCCCGCAAACCGTGCTGTTTCGGTTCCTTCCACCCCTGGCTGTGCCTTACGCAGGGGCAGCTCTGGAGCTCCGTCTATAGGGCCGAACGCGCTCCGCGCTTCGGGTCGCGATCCGGAGCGACGCTCTCCGGGAAGCGCAGGGAGCACCGCTGAGCGCAGCAGTGCAATAACGGAGCTCTCCCTTAGAGGTCAGCCCAGCACCTAAACTGCTCCAGAAATCCACGCGGACGGGAGCGATTCCTGCAAACATGAACGGGGAGGGACGGGGATGTGTCTCTGGCCCTAGAGGGGGGGTCTGAGCGCCGGTCCCTCTCCCAGCCGTGCTGCCATGCTGAAGCAGGAGGCACCAGGAGGGATGGCGGCTCCAAGAGGCTCTGCAGGCCGGTGGGATTTTATTTTCCAGCACAAAACAGAGCTCAGCTTCGTGCTAAAAATAGGGAGATTAAAAAATAAATCTCCGTGGCTTTTTGAGTGCCCTGCTTTGCCAGATTTAATTCACGGCCACAAAGCCCTGAAGTTGGATATGAAGGATAATTTATTCTCCAAAAGAGCGGTGAGGTGCTGGCACAGGCTGCCCAGGGAGGTGGGGGAGTCCCTGTGCCTGGAGGTGCTCAAGAAATGTGTGGATGTGGCACTGGGTGACGCGGGTTAGTGGGCAGTATTGGTGGTAGGTGGATGACTGGATGAGGTGATCTCAGAGGTCTTTTCCAGCCTTAACGATTCTATGAGAACTGCCTTAAGTAGTGGGCTGGTGCTGATGGGCAGCCTCGGCCTCCCTAAGAAGTAGCCCTTCCCCTGTGCTCCTAGCAGTAAGTGGGACAAGAGCACACAGTGGTGTACCCAAACTACTCAGTGTTGTGCCCTTGGGAAACCACTTTGAGGAAGAGAAATGAGACCAAAAGCAACACTTAAGCACAGAACACATGAGGACAGGCAGCTCTGAGCATGTTTGCTCAGCACCCAGACTCAGCTGCAGCGAGGGAGCTGTGTTTAGCAGCAGCTGATCAGCACTGACCTTAGAGCTCCCCGCTGGGAGGGATGCCCCAGGCTCCATCCCCACAGGCCGAGGTCGTGCTCATGTATCCCGTGTGGTTTGCTGTCGCTGTTTGTTTTCTTCCAGGTTCCTGCCCGTGGTTAAGATGCGGCGAAGCACTGGGGCTCATCCATCAGTGACACTGGTGTCTGCCCCGCTCTGTCCCCTCTTCACGCTGCCCGGGGAGTTTTTCCCTCCCTAAATTCAATTAGATGCCATAAGGGGTCAACCCCATTATAGCCATGGCTCCTCCGGGATGGGCAGGGGGCTGTAGCCTCTCCCTCCCATAGGATCAGAACACAGCCCTATAAATAATAATTAAATGTTAAAAGGAGCAGTTTTGAAGGACGCGATCGCTCCAGTCAGTCCCAGCTGCCTCCCATTAGAGGCAGCAGTGTGAATACAGCCACCTGGGGCAGCTTGGGCCCCAGAGCATTCAGTGGGCTGGTGGCACTGCTGGACAGGCATACAGAGCAGCTGTGGGACCGCAGACTTCACCACCAGCAGCATTGCACTGGGGTTACATCAGTGACAGCTTAAGCCAACACAGCTTGGTTGGCTCTAATGAAAATGCTGAAGGTTTGGGGCCTGGAAAGGGCCCGAACCTCTGAAGCAGGGCAGTGTGAAGCACAAGCGGTGCAGAAGGATGTGATGCTTCTCCACAGCCAGGGGACCACAGGAGGGATCAGAGCTACCCACCACATGCTTCCACCACCTGGAAATGCTCCTTGCAAGGACAAATACCTGCATGTCTGTACCCAGCAGCAGAAGAGATAAAGAGGGGAAAGCTCGGCTCAGGGCAGAGCCTGAAGGAGGGTCGTGCTGCTGAGTGCACTCGCTATCGCAGCTTGGACACAGCATGCATGTGGCAGACCAGCAGCTCACTGTGCTCTCTGAAGCACAACCTGCTCTCCGTGTAATGGGAGAGGTGGGAAAAGAGAAAGGTGGAATCAAGCACAAGTAAGCCTGATACACAAAGCAGGAGTGAAATCAGGTGTTCTCTAAAAATCTGAAGTTTATTCGTTAGAATTCAGTGAAAGGAACATTCAGTTTAAAACAGTCAGTACATTAAAAAGTCGAGAGGATGAGTAGCAATGAGACCAGAACAAAACAGAACAGCCCCGAATCTGGCACCTAGCAGGGCAGAGGGCAGCACACAGCCAGGCTGGATGGGGCTCCCTGCATGGCTGCAATGGGGACAGAGGGGCAGAGCTGGGGCAGCTCTGCTTCCTTAGAACCTGTGGGCTCCCCTCGGTTCCCATGTGCTGCCTGCATTGTGGGCCCCAGGATCAGATGCCAGGAGAGCTGCCATCCCACCCCGATCCATGCTAAGGAACCCCAACAGTGCCCCTGTTTGTTAAGAGCTGCTGAATTGAAAGACACACAAATCTGTGCAGAGCCAAACGTCTCAGCCTGGAACTGCCACCTCTGCTGGTGTTGGCTCAGGGGGGAAGAAGGAACAAATCGGTTTTCAGCTTTTCATTTTCTTTTTGCACATGAGCGCTGGGCATTGTTCTCTGCTCAGCTAATCATCATGACCTTCTGCAGAGTTATGTCAGCCCTTCTACCCCACACAGGGCTGCAAACTCTGCAGGGGCACTGAGTCTGGCAAACAAAGCAGCATATTCATTCCATTAAAAAAAAAAAAATCCACATTAACTAGTGTTGGGTCTGAGCGTACCCAGAGCTCACCTTTTGGTTGTGACCCCAAAATTCAAGGCAATGTTGTTCCATTCATTTCTACATCACCCCACAGCAGCCAACAGCACCTCCTGCCCTGCAATGGCTGAAGGGGACAGAGGAGAGCCTGGTTTGGGACAACATAATTGAAGCACACAGAGAAATCCCAAACTGAAATCCACACGGTTTGGGTGTTTGTTTAGTTTAAAGACAACCAACGACACTTGGAGGGAAAAATCACCACGGTGCACAAATTCAGATTCAAAACAAAGCTAAGAAACAGCTGACAAGAGTGACAAACCAGTATCAAAACAGACATCCTGGCGGTGTCCACACAGAGCGTGCAGTGGCAGTGGATTGGCTTCTCATTTCTAGAGCTGCTCCTTCAGACGACACCAACCAGCACTCTGCACGGGGGAGCAACGTGGGTCTCTTGCATTGCACAGGCAGTGGCAGCAGCAGTGACAGCAATAAATTGCTGTTTCTCCATCAGAACTGTAAACCGCACCGTTTTGAAACACATAACGTACGTAAGTAAAAGAACAGTCCATAAAATTTCCCCATGAATATAAAATGCAAAACTATACAAAAATAGATAAAATCGACCGTTTTCTTATGCGTATATAAAAAACAAACAAACAAAGTCCCCAAAACGCAATACAGAGCTACTTGGTAGGCTGACCTGGTCAGGGTTTGGTCGGCAGCAAACAGCCACGACCCACCTCTCCAAGGCTTTCCCTGGATGCACTGAGCTCCGTGAGGTTTGGGGGGTGTTCCTCCATACCTCAGCCAGACAGAGCTGCTCACCCCGAGCTGTATGCCTCATTTCTGTCTCCACAGACCTCTTTTGCACAAGAATTACTGTTCTCAAGCTCAGATTCCTTGGGTAAGTCTATATTTTACCAGGTTAGAAGATGATGGCTTGAGCCAGAAATGAGAAGCTGCAGCCCTCAATGAGCGGTCCGACTGCTTCTAGCTCCCATGTGGTCCAAAGACTCAGGTGGGAAGTTCCTCCATCACATTTTTAGGAAAATCATGCTCATTATGAGGTCAGCATTGGTCAAAGAGCTCCAAGAGCTCACAACCCATAAGAGTGTTCTCCCAGGCCCCTGTCCCATACCACAGAGCAGCCATGGGATCCCACTCAGTGGGACAATAACTTGCTCTAAGCACTCCCTATGACACCAAATCCTCTTCTGTTTGGCTTCAACAAAGGCTGGCCACTAAGCATTCCCAATCATCAACAGACAGCCTGTAGGTCAGAGAAAGGATGAAGGACCCCTTTAAAGCTTATCCTTTCATTCCAAGATGCACTGCTTCTGAAAATGGGTTAACACCACACAAGAACGAGTATTTCCCCCCTCTAGTGATGTGTTAATTTGGACTATGCAGCTGTGAGAAATCTCTCCCAAAGCCATAGGTGGACAAGATCAAGACCCAGGAGCTTGTATTTGGCATTCAACCTGTAGTCCCTTTGTAAATCCCTACTAGAAAAGCATAGTGGGAAGATCAGGTCCTATCTATTCCATAGAAGAAGGAATACATTAGCTACTGAAATCCAATCTATGGCAGTGACAATTTACAGACTAGGTTAGTATATTGAAAATGCTTATTTCTTTGGGTTAATGGGGCAGAATACTCCAATAATTCAATAAATTATTTTTAAAATGCTTTTAGAAACCTCATTTTAAATCAACAGATACTTGATTCGTTTAATTCAAATCAAATTAAGAGGAGAAACCTTTGGTATAAAGTCAGATTATCAAGTCTTGGCTGTATTGCTTTCACACATCAGACTAGGAACTGTTGTCCAATAAGTCTTCCCACTACGTACCTACAACCAAAATAATTATTACTACAGACATGCATTTGCAACGGAACATTCATTTTAGCACTGAGACACTTTCATCCTTCACCAGAACTTTGGCAAAGGCTGCATCACTTACAAACAAAACACTGCGCAAAACCCCTTTGAGCCACAAGATGCCTTTGGTGACACACTAAAACGAGATAATGGTTAAAAATTCCTGTAAGAGGCCACTGCAGAGGCCAAGCGATTCCAGTGAGCACCTATTTGTGTTGTGACATCTCTGGTGTTGCTAGTGATAACTACGGGATCCTTTCTTTGGAATCGGCACTGAGTTGCAGCAGAGCTTGGCTGAGCTCACGCTGAGCAAGAGGGAGTTAGGAGCATTTGTTAGGGGATGCTCATGGCATAAACACTGAAAAATGAAGGTTAATCCCAAGGACACACAGATGGGTCTGCTCAAGCCTCAGGAATCTGTTCAGAAAACAAACAAACAACAACATACACATAAGTGGAGCTGCCAATAAGGAATTCCAGCTTTGCCTTTCCCTGTTCCTTCATGGACGTACAAGGACAGGACAGTAAGAAGCCTCATCTCAAAAAGAAATCATAGGACCCATTTTGCTTAGGAAAACAAAACAGAAAAGCTCTTCATGCCTTGGTACCTTACAACTAGAGCAGTACCAGGGGGCTGCCCACGTTTCCAACCACAGCCACACGTGTACCTGGGCTGCAGGTGTGAGCAGCAGGCGGTGAGCTGCTCTGGGGAAGGACTCAGCTCCACACCAATGCTGAGCAGAGCCCTGCCACCTGCATGGCGTGCCAGGCTTTGGAGAAGGGCATCACTGCCCTATTTCCAGTTTGTGATTTATTTAATGTTACAACCTCTGTTGCAAAGAGAAGCAGAAAATTGGCAACTTGGGAAAAAGGACACCTAATTCATCAGTAACTGAATTACAGTCAGTTGGACAGAAATAGGAAGAAGTTTTGTAAGCCACAGAAAGTGACTCACAGAATATCTCAAGTTGGAAGGGGCCCCTACAGATCAAGTCAGACTCCTGGCTCCACAGAGGAGCACCCAAAAATCAAACCTGTGTTTGAGAGCACTGTCCAGACACTTGTTGAACTCCTGCAGCTCTCAGCCATGCCTTCTTGGTGCCCTGCCTATCTTTTCCGAGGAGCCTGTAACCGCCCTCACAGCACACCAGCCACAGGACTCTTCCCACCAGGTTTTGCTTACACCAATGATGTAGTAGTTCTGGGACTGAGCCAAGGCTTTTAGCTCTTCTTGCTTGTTCCTTGCAGGGTGTGTGTTGGTGTAGAAGCATTTCAGATGTGCTTCATCATACCCAGCACCTCGTGGAGCAGAATGAAGGACCTCAGCAGCACACAGCCCCTCTGATTGTGGCGTGCCACCCCACAGTTCATCACCAGTGATGTGGGTGAGCTTGAGCTGGGCTATTTGGCTTCTCCCCTCAACTTCAACACTGCCAGCCTGCACTACCAAAAGCAGGTAATAACCGGAGAGCTGTACGAGACCAGGGAGCTTCCTGGTGATGTCCATGACCCAGGCCCCAGGTTGGCAGCAGACTTTCTTGTGGGAAAGGGTCTGGTCAGCACATTGAGCCCTCAGTTCCCCTTAGAACAGAGTCCCCTATGACAATCACCCTTCTTCTGTTCCTGGCAAAGGCAGTTTTGGGGTTTCTGGGTGACTGACTCACCCTACAGAATCTCCTGGATGGATGTTCACCAACATCTTCATCTGCCTCTCTTAAGTTCCAGAGCTGCATACCTATTGTGCAACAGCACCTGGGAAGGCAAGGTAGGCTGGGGGAAGGTAAGGGGGGAGGTTTGCCAGTCACCCTGTGCAGGGACCTGTTTCCATTCCTCCATCTCTTAGGTCCTTTCCTTCTGCTTGACGGCAAGAGGCTATGACTCTGCAAAAGGTCCCTGGCACACAGCTCTGCTCTGAAGCTGATCAGCTCGAGGGAAGGTTTGGTTTAGAGACTAACGTGCTTCAGATCAACGTGGACACTGAGAACTTCTTCAGGAAAGATGTCAGCTCTGCTCTGCTATCCTCAAACAGGTGCTTCCAAGAGCTCTGACAACCTCCTCAGAACGTTGGTCTGCCACTCTTGTGTTCCTTCTCCACATTTGTTCAAAAGAGAAATTAAAAAAAGAAAATCAAAAGCCTGCAGCAATCTTCGGCATTTTTGTTCCCTCCCGTTAGAAGGAAGAAGTTACGAAGCCTAATTTAGGCTGTGATACATCCTGTATTCCAATTAATAGAATACTTTCCTCATATGAGTTTATATAAAGAAAATAAACACAAAATGTAAAACAAAAAGCAACACAGCAACAGCAACTTTACAGCTAGAGGCCCAATGCAAGTTTAGCTTATTTAAGAGAAGTCATACACGTGCCCTTGGCCTGGGAGAGGCTGGGGATGAGGTACAAAGCGTAGGAAAGGCTTCCGCTGGAAATTAAACACCATGAAGAAAGACCATGACAGAGAAAAGGGACTGACACTTTGTTCTTGAAAGGGAATCCATCAATAGAACATCTCTCTGCACACTGTATTCTTGAGCACATTAAAGCTAGAACTGGAAAACATTATCAGCACGAACACAAACACTCCTACTTTCCTTTCAGGCAGGAAAAAAAAGTTACAGTGAAGTTCCCCTCGCAGCTGAACTGCCCCCTGTCCTTGCTCTTAAAATAACTTGCATCCTTCCTCTGCAGCTCCCCAAATCAAGATCAAGACGGAAGATGTTAAAAGCTTGTCAAAAAAAAAAAAAAAAAAAAAAAAGCATTTCACAGAGAAGAGGAAGAAACCCAATTTCTTTTGAAAGCTTCCCCAGGACGTGTTCTCCTGGCTGCAGCTCTGAAGTGGAGACTCCAGGAATGTCCCCCAGAGCACCCACTGCCCTATGGTGAGAAACCCCAATGTGGGAGAAGCGACCGCTCGCAGCCAACCGGCACGGCGAGCGAGGTCACAGCACAGCAATGCTCCTCACTCCTTCACAGCTGCCAATTGCTCAGCTTCTTTTTTTAAAGGTGATGGTGCCCCTTCATCTGCAGAGAACAAACCTGCCATACTAGAAATGGGTCCATTTCCAGATTTTATTCTAGCAGCAATGGGATTGTGCACTGGGGCTGCTGCCACATTTTGCATCGTGTATTGTGTTCGAGAGTGGTGGATCGCACTGGAAAAAAAACAAAAGTGCCTCAGTGTTAATCTGTGAATCTAAGAGGTTGCTCTGCACCAAACCAGAGTACCCATAGCAGTGCAGAACGGCAGCAGCATGGAGACTATGTACTGCAGCTGCAAGAGGAGTTCATCTTTGTTGGCCCGGTTCGACATAAGTCACTCATTAGTGTTCACTTTCTTCCCCCCCCCCCCCCCCCCCCCCCCCCCCCCCCCCCCCCCCCCTTTTCACCCCTTTCCCCACTTCCCAGCCACCCAGCAGGAGCTATTTGGCTCCCATTACATTCACTGCAGTGCTCAGGCAGCCGCTGGGCAGCGCGTTCCCCGGCGCAGCTCTCGCTTTCAGCAGCTCTTTGCCAGTGCTCCCATAGCGCTCTGTGAAGCAGGCTGAGCTTTTTAAGGTTTCGGTGTCATCGCTGTCATGGAACTGGGGCACTCCTTGGGTGACGCCGACAGGTTTGCACTTGGCTGGTTTCTCTGGGGACTGGGCAAAGCTGATGCACTGTGGTGGCTCTGGTTCCCCCAGCGGGAGCACACGGGCGAGCTTTTTGGCCGGGGCTTCTCCGTGATACCGATATGACCCAGCCGCCTCCTGCGGCTGCCTCGTGTCAGGCTGCAGAGGTAAGTTGGATGGCCTGACCAGGAGCCTGTTTGGCTCCAGATCTTGGGGCTGCCTCTCCAGAGGTTCTCTGGCACTGCTCCTTGAAAGGGGCAAAAAGGGGGAGTCTGCATCTAACCGATCAGATGGCTCCCAGCTGCTCTGCATCCCAGCAGTTGGAACAAAACCCCAGTGTTTGATGCCCCCAGGAGCCAGCTCAGCGTTGTACTGGAGGTGCTGCAAGCCCGGCCAGCTCAGCACACCATTGGCCTCCCCACCTTCAGAAGCTGACAGTTCTGCCTCCTCTTTGCTCCTGCTCCTTCTTGCTCCATCTGAGTACTTTTTGTCCCATTTTGACCACAGCTGGCAAGGCTTAAGGCCGTTCTTGGAAATCTGCAATTCTGCAAGTTCAAACTCCAGGCTCTCCGTGTCAAGCGACCTGCTCCTCCTGTTAAGGGAGAGCGGTGCTGGCATGGCAGGGCTGAGCTCATGCAGACGCAGGTGCCGGGGCAGGCTGGCAACCCCCCAGTTGCAGCTCTGGAAGGAGCCCTGGGGGCACCCCAGGAACATTCTCTCGTCACATTCAGCAAACGACTCCTTCTGCACATAGCTCTCATCGAAGGCCTCAAAGGATGCAGCCATGTCTTCATCAGCATTCATCTCAAGGTGCTGCTCGCACTCCCCTTCCCCTTCCTGCTCCACATCGACAATGTCAAATGTGACCATGGTGGGGAGGACGGGGAGGTTCTGAGTGAAGGAAGAGCCAGAGTCGGAGCTGCCCAGGCTTTCCGACAGGCTGGAGAAGAGGGTCCCACTGCTGGTGAACTCCACCAGAGCTTGTGAGAAGCTCATGGCGTGCTCAGGTTCGCACTCACAGTCAGCCTGGGGCTCTCTGCCAGCAGCCTCCACCCCACTGTGGTGGTCACTCTGCGAGCAGCCCTCATGCTCCAGGGGTCTGTGGCTGGGGAAGATCCCTGGTTTGGCTGAAGCTGCACTGCCATGGAGGGACCCCCCAAACAATGCACAGTCTGGATCAGAACTGAATCCTGGGTTGTTCTTCATGAGCTGAATAAGGCAACTTCCTTGGGCTTTTTGGCTGTTGTAACAGTTCTCTGGACACAAAGGCCCTGGAAAATCACTCCACTCCGGATTTTCAGCTCTAGCCACCAAAATCCCACCATTCACATTCCTGTTTAGAGCTTGAGAGGCAATCTGCTCACTACCAAGGCAACTCTGATTTTTGCCAATCAAGTTGGCTGCTCTAGTTTTACATTCAACGTGCTGCTTTTCCCTGGGACACTTCTCTTTGCTGGGAACATCAAGACGTTTCAAGCCTGGTTCCCTCTGCAGCTCCCAGAACAGCAGCTCTTTCTGAATGGCAGCTAGCCGCTCTTCTTCGGTTTCCATAACCCCCCTCTTCTGATCCATCATCTGGATCAAGGTCTTCTCAGGAGGGAGGCAAAAGTCCAAGAAGTAGCTGAAGATCTCTGGATGAGAGACTTTGCTCTCAAACAGGGATTGCTCCCCATGAGAGGGGCTCATTAGTGTGTCATCAGGCTCGTAAAACTCATAAAGTGCATCGCCACTGTAGCTGTCTCTGGGAAGACGGTCCTTCTTGATCTCACAAAGTCCATCCCCAGTCTCATCCTCTGGTCCTGGTGTGGTGGAGTCGTAATATCCCTCATCACTATTAGGTGCAGACTCTTGCTGGTCGCTCTGTGGTGTCAGGAGCTCGACCCCATCCATTGCCCCACTAGCATAGGGGTGGACCTCCCCCTCACGCAAACCACGTGTCTCTAACTTGCTACTCACTGCCCGCAGTTCAGGACTGCTCACAGCTGGAGGCAGCGGGGCTTCGTAGCTCCTACCCTCTTCAGCGGTGCTGTCCCATATCTGCTGGAGATACTCCTCCTCAGACATGGCCATCTCCTCCCCACCTCCCTGGTAGGTAACAAGGCATGGGCTCCGTTTAGCAGTGTCTCGGCTGCGCTCCACAGAGATTGTGCTCTCAGCAATGCTGAGGATGTCAGGCTCAGCAATGATGTCTCCGCACCCTGTGAGGGAATCAAAGCTCTTCAGGGATGTGACGTCTCCAAAGAGGAGACTCAGCTGGTCCCCAGAATGTATTGAGGGAGGGTCGTTGTCTGGATGAAGGGCCACAGGGAGATGGCTGTAGTTGGACTCTGTGTAGACAACAGCATCTACCTCCGATTTTGCATCCAGATCATCCTTGCCCCCAGGCACTACCACCACATCGCCCTCACAGCTGCCCTTATCAGCCTGGAGCCAGTCTGGCTCAGCAGCCTCCCCAAAGTCAGCTGCTGTACGCACTAAGCAGTTACCTGCTGAACTGCCTGGGCAGGCTGCAGCAAGAGGGACAGACCCAGGTCCTCCTTCCTCCACAGCTCCAGGAGTTTCCGCTTTCGTGGCCTGAGCTTTGCTGGTCTCCTCCGAATCCCCAGGCCACTCAGAGAGCTCTGTTTTCTCACACTCAGCAACCTTGCTCTTACGGTGACGCCGGATGCTGTTCAGAAGTCCCTTCAGACCTTTTTTCGGTCTGGGGAAGGATGACTTGTCTCCGCTGGGCTTCTTCTCATAGCCCTCCATACTCCCTGGTGGAGAGCCATCCTGCCTGCCAAAATCAAACTTGATGCTGGTGTCTATGGCCACGTGAACGCTTTGGGAGCTTGGCAGCAGGCAAGGATGGGAATCCCTGCTTCCATCTGAAGGGCTTTCCAACTGCGCCCCACTGCCCTCCTCATATGCAGTGCCACTGATCCCATCGTGGGTCTTACTTTTACTGAGCCCCTTTTTAGAAGCTCCTTTCCCCTGGCCTTTGTTTCTGCTGCTGAAGAAACTCGGCAGTGTACATATACTCCTCTTCCCTCCAAACAACTTGAAAGCAGTTTTCTTCAGCTTGCCGGAGGGTGCCTGGGGCTGCTGCTGCTCTGCAGCCACGGCTGAGGCATCGCTCCGCTGGGACAGCCGCTCAACGTTCTCCTCTGGCTGCTGCTCACCGCCCTTGCACTGCCTGCATGCTGCAGACTGCGACCGGGTCCTGGCAGCCTCCTCTGTGCAGCCTGTTTCCATGGCAGCTGCTTGGTTCGCGTGTTTCTAGCTGGAAACAATGGTAGTACAATCTTCTTGCAGGCACAGGGACCAAAGCATCGTGGCTGATCTAAAGCAAAAAGAGAGAGAGAGATAAGGAGACAGCAGTGGGTGACATATAGGTGTAACAAGGCAAAGAGCTACGTCACCACCTGCAACTACAGCTGCAAAAACCTCCTACCTGTTAGAATTCTGGACGAAGACGTCACTGTACTGAATTCTCCAGAACCCACCTACAGCCATCTGGCAATAGCACCCCATCACAGGGACAGGTAGACCTGAGTCCCGAGCCGCCTCATTCAACCTCTGACCTTTGTCAAAGAGACACTGAGGTTCTGCTCTGTTAACAACTGCCTGTCAGCACAGAAAACACGGGCACCTCCAAAAGGGAGAGGGACTAAGACATGTCAAACTCTGCTTCCAGGCACCCAAACATAGCATCAAACAACAGGAAGCATCTGGACTGTCAAGCCAGAGAGCAGCCCTTATGGCAACTGCGCATCCAGCAAAAGCAGCCATTTACCATATTTTGTTTTCCTCACTAAATTTCAATTGTTTTCAAAATCATCTGTCAAGCAAGATAAAACTGCATTAAAAATACTCATTATAAACCCCCCTGATCAGATTATCTCAGAAGCAGAGAGAGGTAGGTTTTCAATTTCATCCTGGGTTGATGTTAATAGCAGGGGAAATAAAATATTACTATTTCTTTTCCAGAATAGAGATTGGAGAAAATAAATCCAGTGAGAATTGTAATGCACTGCTGAGCTGCAATACCTGAGGCTTAGCTCTGATCAGCCCAAGGCCAGGAAAGCTTTCCAGAGATCTCAATGAAAAACACACCCAAATGATGGCCTTCAGCTCCTATAACTCAATAGCCAACCCATGATGTGAGGTTTGCTCTCAAGCCTTGGGAACCTGTACAAAAGTAGCGCAGTATTTATTTGCCTCCATAATTAATAACCTTGGTGTTCACCCTCCTCACTAAAATAAGTGGCTTGGGAAAACAGATGGGGCAGGATGCAACTGCGCTCCGAACGCTACAGACTGACCTGTCCTCCTGCCTGCAGTGGGGGCACAGAGCCCAGCACAGCCAGATCCCCAGCTCACTGCTCCCAGGGGCTGTGCCCGTGCCTGACGTTTCTTTTGGCTACTCGAGCCCTGCGGGCACAGAGCCAGCTAAAGGTAACAGAGAGGAAGGCGTAAGTGGAATTTAGGCCTGCTGAATGCAACCGTGCCGTGGGTGAGTGTCTGACACAATTCCCTGACAGCAGCCAGCAGGATGCTCAGCTGGGACCTTGCTTCATGACCCTGAGCCCTGGAACAGCTCCGGCACTCACCTAGGAGGCTGGAGACAAGGGGATGTATTTACAGCCATTGCTGACAGAGGCGGATTTAGCCACCTTTCACATCCCTGAAGCACAGTCTGCCCTTTCTCTGAGGCTTCCTGGGCCTCTCCAGAGCATCCCAGGGGCCAAACAATGCTTCTCTAGCTCTGACAATCAGCACTTTTGCACTCCTGGGCAGATCCAAAGCCTGTCTGGGGTGACTCCAGGATTCTTCTGGAGCCTCCAAAGAGCCTCTCAAGAGAGACCTGTTTAGACAGGATCAATAGAAAATAGTACGCAAACATCTGTATACATGGATTAATAAAGTAGTAGAAAAATGAAACAGGAACAAGACTTCAACTTGAAAATAAGCTCACTCTGGCTCCACATCAGCACTGGCATCAGTAGATGTTCACTACTGTGACCACACAGCTATTTATGGATGCCAGAACAATAAAGTCACCAAGGGCAAACACCACTATTGATGGAATGCAAAAATGGGGTCAGAAACACATACAAATCACTACAGTAAAAGACAGCACTTCACCTGTGCCCAGCTCCCTGAGGCAGCCAGGGGGATGAGGTAGATCTGTTTGTACTTAGGGTGACACAGCCTTCTGCTCTAGCCATAGGTAGAAGCAGGGCATGTCTGAAACTGCCAGGGGAGCAGGCAGCTGGTGCCAAGAGGCTGACCTGGGTCAGACCTTGGGGCTCTGTTAGTGTACAACTGTGACAAAGCACCTCTGCCAACAAGCTGTCCTTCTCCAGCAGTGAGTGCTGAGCACCACGTCCCCTCCTCCAGCACATCCAGGGCACCAAGGATGTGTTCAAGAAGCGTTAAGGCAAATCTCTCAGAAGTAGAGTTTGAATTTTGAGTGGTTCTGTGGGGAGCCAGGAGTTGAACTCAACAGTATCCATTAGTCTCTTCCTACTTGGGACATTCTGTGATGCTATGATTCCATACGAGGGACAACTTCCATTCACCCCAGCACCAGCTAAAGCAGAGGCCTGCTTTGTCCTCAGCTGGGATCTCAAGACTTTTAAGAGCATCCATGAAAAGGCACAACCACCTCAGCATTCAACAAAAATAGAAATGAGGTGGAGAATGAGAGTCTCATAGCCTGCACATAAAAGACTTGGGAAAATGCCCCTGTTTTATTCCCTAAACCCACCACAGGCCTTAGGCAGCTCATCAAGCCTTTCTCCTTCATGCAGACTGACACTGCCTACGGTAAGCAGACTGTTAAATCCCTTCTTTGTGCTGCACCAGAGATTAGCTGGTGTGAGTGACCAACAGCCATCAATGGACTCACCCAACTCTACCCTGGTTGCATGACTTTCAGCAGGGCCAGAGCCCCCCAGAATCCCCTGGTGACCCCTAATGCAGAGCACAGCACATTGCAACCCTCATCTGTGGTGGGGACAGCCCCACAGAACACACCCATTCCCTGCTCTGCAGGAGAGCTGCACAGCTGGGCTCTGCACAAATCCGCTCAGACCCTGACAGCTGCCATGAAAACGTCTGACTGCAATGAAACACCAGGACATCAGGTAGCATTCATCCACCCGCTGCTTTCTATTCCTCCACATCAGAACAGAGACCTTCCAGAAGAGCAAAAAGCACTGAACCCGAGCGCAACAAAACAGTGCCCTCTCCTGCAGCTCTCATGTGGGCAGGTGGGAGCACACGGACAGTACAGCTGTCAGAATGGGAGGCAGACACTCGAGCGTGATCAATTAATTCTCACAGGCATCAGCAAAGACAAGCTACGATCAATTAATTCTCAGCAAGGAACCAGGCATGTCATCCTGATCCTACAAATGGGAGACTGGGCATTAAATTAAGGGACTTACCCAACTCACAGGGGAGCTTCTGTCTTGTCGCCAGGATTAGGATGCAGAAGCACTCACAGCAAGAGCACGGATAATCCAGGATAACCGCCCGAATGCTGGTTGGAGGGCTGGTGTCAGACGAAGCATCCCCTCTCCCTAACTCACAGGTTGCTCTCATCTTTAAACCACTTTCCTCAGCAGCAGTCTGGGAAGCGCTGGGACTGTGCAATCCTGACAGCAGCCTCCTCCAGCAGGTCACGTGTTGTACACCATGACACCAGGGTTCTTTCTCCCTCATCTATGGAGAACATGGCATGGCTTCCCCATGCTGGAAATGCAACGACGTGCAGAGCAAAGCCAGGCACAGTGCTACAAGGGCTGCATCCCACAGGACTCCCTGCAGGAACTGCACGCCTCACTAACAGCAGGCCACACCGGCCGGGTCCCAGCTCTGAATGGGAACGAGCCCCATCTGTCTCACTGCCCATACAATGGTGCAGAGTGATGGAGACAAAGGCACAGTGAAGCCCCGGGGCAGCAGGAGGTGTCTGGCACCAGTCAGGGCAGTGGGTGGGAGTACCAGAGCGAGCCGTGGCTGGCACAGCACAGCAGCATGGCAGGATGCATGCCTGCTCCAGACATCTTCAGGTAGCACGGTGTGTTTAAGCAGCAGTTCAGCACATTCTGAATGTATGTACAGACAAAAGAGATCCTTCCGCTGTCCTCAGAAGGGTCTCAGCTGAGATGCAGGGAACTCACTGTGACACTGCAGTGGGATGGGTACGTCCCCAGGGACCGAGTCTCCCTCCTGCTGCAGCTGTACAATCCCTCCCACTGACCCCACGCTCCTCCACAAACCACGTGGGAGTGTCTCCCCAGAGCACTCTGAGCTGCCCCAGAAGTCAATGGCCCTGAGAATCGGAAACCATCTTCCATTTTCCGATGTAGTTTTATCCGTGGCCATTTTATACATCCTTTATCTTACACGTTACATGCTGCTTTTTCCTTCAGCAGCACTCAACCCACAGCATCCTCACCCCTACATGCAGTTCTCACTCCCTAGGCCAAGCGAACTCTCCAAACTCTCCCCACGCAACACGCTCTGAGCTCCCTGAGCCATCCCACAGTCTTTCCCCATGCAACAACAGAAATCAAAGCCTTTGCAAACAGAGGCAGCAAGAAATACACATGATGCCCCGAAGCCCCAAGCGCACAGCCCTGCATCACCAGAACAGCAGAGCCCGGCTCCTTCTGTGAGCCCCACGTGGAAACTTCACTCCATCTCATTTCCCCAAGCATTGCTTACAAACAAACAGCAGTCCTTTCCAGGACACTCCTGCATATTCATGCCATTAATTCCTCCGTTTACAGAGGGATGTTATTGCAGCTGTCAATACCGACAGGCACAGAACTGCTAAACGTGCTGCCGCTATCCTCAAATAAACTGTTGCGCTAACGATTTTTGTTACAGTAAAAACAGCCACAGCAACCGTTTTGTTGGAAAGCCGCGTATTAATGTCATTCTGTCTCAGAAACAAAGACAACTCGAGCACTTCAAAGTTTCAATCCTGAGGCCTGATTTAGCAAAAGCTTTATAGTTGTAAAATTCCTTTACTCAGAGCTGTGATTTTCTTCAGTTGTTTGTCACTGCAATAATTACACCGCCGTGCAGCACCACGTGGGCAGGTATCTGTGTGCCTGGAGCTGGTGCTGCTCGTCCCTGGCCTTTCCTCCTGGTGTGACCACATCCACAGCAAGACGTGCTGACCCTTACCCCAGCAGGGTGCAATTAGTGTGCTGCATTTACATACTTATTAAGACAGGCTGGGTCCTCTGGTGAGCAAAACGCTACAGCTTAGGTGGACACAATGCACTTACACGCGTGGCAGGGCCTTGTTTTTAAGGGGAGAGATGGGCAGCGTGCCATTCACCACCAACCTCAGCTTTCCCCCGCTCAGAGTTTCCATCTCCCCTTTTGTAAAAGAAAATCATTTTGTGTTTCGTTATGTTCTGCCACCAGGCCAATGGGTTTGGAGCACGCTGACAGGTACAGAGAGAGATGTGGACAAACGTTGCTGAGCACATCTCTGTTCCAGCCCCGAGCTGCCACAGACTACACTCAGCAGTGGAGTAAGAAGACAATGGCTGAGCAGCATCCAAACACACCAGAGGTGCTACCAAATCAGCAGCCCCCTCAGTTCACTATGACCTCACCTTGCTGCAGGACTTCAGCTCAACTGAAGCTGACCCACTCTACCACAGCAGCAGAGGCGCAGAGCTCGGGATGAGCCGGGAGCACAGCGCCTTCAGCCTCCACCGAGATCACAGCCGCCACAACTGCGAGTAGTAACCACATGAAAAACAACACGCAAGTGAACGCTTTTACAAGATGAGTGTAAGTTTAACAGCTCCGCCTGAGGAGCTCACAACGCCTCCATTAAGGCTGCTATTGAATTAGAAGGCAGAGCCCTCCCACGGAGGCATTCCTGCGCCTCTCCCGCTCCAGCCCGGCTGTCTGGGTGCCTCGCTCTGCACACATTCTGTCCCTGCTGCTCTCTGTCACCTCACGGTGCCCAGCGTTCAGCTTTTGGGTGTGAAAGACAGAAGCCTAGAAGAAAAAGAGATGTGCTTCCAACAAAAACGTAAAGCCACCCTACTTCTGGGGGAAGGCCTTTGGCTTCGGGGGTTTGTCGTTAACTGAACACCAGCACTGCTCAGCAGCTCCAGCAGAAGCCTAAATGCAATTACTTCGATCTTACAAAAAGCCACGTGACAAGGCACTTTTCTATCCGCGGCTCGCAGGTACCTGGTTTTCTCAAGACAGGGCAGCGGCACGGCGTCCGTTGGGTCACACCGGATGGGGAGGAGAAAGGCAGCCAAGAACCGGGTCCGCATCTGACAACACAACACACCCCGCTGCAAAGCCCTCGTCCAAACTCTTCCCCAGGACCTCATAAAACCCACGGGATCGTCCGGCGCTCTCAGCAGGGAACCCCACAGCCGTTCCGCCCCCGGGAGCCCTTCGGCCGGCCGGGCTCCGCAGGACGACGGAGAGGTGGGAGGACCCGGAGAAGCCGGGCCTGCCGTGCCGCGTTCCCCACGAGCTGCCCGCGGGACTCGCCAGAGGAAAGGCGAGGACGGGAGCACGGCAGCTCGCCGAGCCCAGCGGCAGCGCGGCCCGCTCCAGCCCCGCTCTCAGAAGCGGACCCCGGCGCGGCCCCACTCAGCCCCCGTCCCACGGACACGCCGTCCCGCGCACCCGGCCCGGCACCGCCCGCCCGCAGCCCCGCGCCGAGCGGCTCCGCGCCCCGCCGGGCTGCAGCCAGGCCCCGGGCGCCGCGCTGCGGGAAGCGCCGCGGAGCGGAGCGGCGGGGCAGAGCGCCGAGCGCGGGGAGGGGCGAAGCGGCTCCGCTCGCCGTCAGCCCCGGGCCGCGCCGCCACAAAGGCCGCCCGCCGCACTTACCGGCGCGCTGGGCCGCGGTCGGAGCTCGGCGGAGGCGCGGCGCCGCACGGCCCTGCCCGCCGCCGGGAGGCACGGGGCGGCGCCAGCGAGAGCCGCGGGGCCGGGCCGGGTGTGGCGGCGGGGCCGGGCCGTGACGGGGCGGGCGGGCCCTGTGACACGGCGGGGCGGGGAGAAAGGAGCTCCGCACGGACAGCCGCGCCGCGCTGCCTGCTGCTCGCCGTCGGCTGGGGCGCCGCGAGCCAGGAACGTGAGGAGACGCCTTGGAGAGCGAGAAGGGCGGAGCGGCCGCGCGGTGCCGGTGCAGGGCTGCTGCTCGCGGCACCGCAGGCTGCAGCAGCGCTCCTGATGACAAAATGTCCGGTAATTAATAAAGATGTGCAGCTGGCACGAGGGCCACCAGCTGGTTCTCGTTTGGTGCGACTACTGAGAAAATGACGTTTTTCGCCCTTTCGGATATTCAGTTTCATTCCCATTTTGACACTCGTTATCTGCCTTGCCTGCCGGGGGTCGTGGTGGTGCCGGGGTCCTCCATCTCCCCGGCCCTGCCGTGGAAGCCCCATAGCAAAGGCTCAGCTGCACTCCCCTTCCTACAGCCCAAAACCAGAACTTTCTTACCCCACCGCCCGTGAACAAGTGGTTGGGTGAAGAGAAAGCTGTACTGGACAGTTTAGGAATCCAACATCAGGACTAAGCCCTCGTTTCCATCCAGGATTTTAAATTAAGGACTAGAACAAGAGCAGTACAGGAGTTATTTACACGTGCTCAGCTGCAGCACCAATGCATGCTGCTGCTTAGATAGAGCTTGAAGATCACACAGCCATATCAGCCTTTGCAAAGGAAACAAACTTCACTCTTCCACCTTTGTGGACAAGCCGCTGGAGGATTTGCACACAGCACAGGCTAACTTCAGGCCCTTCAGAGGAAGGCCTGGTGCTGCTCAGGGCAGCCTACAAAGCAGGAGAATCACCCCATGAAGTCCCTATGATATTACACTTCCCAGGATGTCAGGGCATTTCAGACTGAAACAATGAAGTTCACAGCACCAGCTGAGTGCCCAACACAGTACGTGCAGCAGAATGGAGAGCTACAGCACCACTGCCTTGGATGTGGAGGGCATCTGCCATGGGGATTTGTTGCTGCTGGGGCTTCCACGTGTGAGCAGGCTGGCAGAGGAATGACTTCTTGTGCAGCCTTCCTCCCAGGGAAGAGGCTGCTTTATGTTGACTGGAGGAGAGCAAGACCCACCAGATCAGGCAGCTCCATTCCACCCTTAACATGCAATCACTCCCCACACCACTGAGAGATTTCCAAAGCATTGTTCAGCTAATTTGAAGAATGCCAAGCTTTAGAGACCTGGATGCTTCTCCTGAGAGACTTCCTGCAGACTAATTAATAGACTCCACAACCTTTGAAATGCAGGATGTACCTGTGTTTTGCAGACAGCGACCTGTGCAGAGCTGATGTCGCACTGACATTTTGCAGGAGCTTAATAGTGAACAGGAGTCTGAACCAAAGCCAATGGCCCACTCTGCCAAGGGTGTTTGGTAGCACTTCCCTTTGCCTCCATTTCAACAGCAATGCTGGAGTGAAAGAACTAGCAGTTAGCAGAATGTATCCCCAGTGAAGGCCACCCAGGCTTAACAGTCACTTCCAGATGACATGGGCTGGGCTCCTAGTCTCTTCCATGATCACTTTAACAATATTTTACCAAACAGATCACAATAGTTTAATAAAAATATTAGCATATGTTTTTAATTAAGAAATCCTGCACAATCATAGGCACTCAGCCAAGAGAGATGCTTCAGCCCTCAGCAGCAACATTAATCACTTTTAGTAAGAGTAAAATGACATTTAGTGTTACTCCTTGAACAGAGAAGTGGGATTTCGGACTTCAGGGATTTTTGCCTGGGAACATGAACTGCAGCCTCTGCTGAGTCATCCACAAGCATGGCCACTGGGGAACAGCCTTTGCGTTTACCTGGTGTCAGGGCATGGCACAGGGGTGCAGGGGAAGTGACAACCACATCTAAGTAGTGTTAGGGCACTCAAATGTGGCTGAAACAGCCTCCTGCTGCTCTCACCAGGCTGCACGACCAAGGAAGTACCTTAGAAGTACCTCTCTGGGAAACAGGTCATCTACACAGCCGAGGAACAACCTGCAGCTTTGCTCAAATCCTGCTCTGCCATCACTCTGATGTGCCTGGTGCATAGCAGGAGCTGAAGACTCCTGGTTTTCTCTTCTCCTTCTCTTAGTATCTTTCCATACAGGTTTCAGAGACACTTTGCAAGCAAAAAAACCCCAACTTTTTAACTACAAATTCACATCTGTTTTGTGCTGTGCAACAGCAGCGTCAGAGGAGCTTTTAATTCAGGCACTAGGCATATTTCTGGGGCAGGTGTCTTCCACGTTGTGTCCCTGCTAAGGCTGATGTTGGAGGTAGCTCACCAGCACTGGTGGAATGTCCAGCTCTCTGAGGGCATGTGCACGGCCGGCCTGCTTCAGGATGTATCTCACCACCAGCCTAGACTGAGACATCAGGGATTTGGGATGAGCTGTGGAAAGAAAAGGAAGGAAAAACAAGATAATCACTGCAGACTATCAGAACACACAACTCTGCTGGAGAGCTTGTGTGGTGTCAGCAAAGGGGGAATTGATGCACCTAAACCAAGCGTCTCTGCTGGGGTTGGTCACACTCACAGTTGGCTACAGGGTATTCTCATGGGAGTTGGATATAAAAAAAGTTTTGATTTATACTGAAATAAGAGCAGTTTTCCTGGACTTAACCAGCACAGGAAAGATGATGGTAAGCAGCAGAAAAAGGGAGACATGGAGAAAAGCAATATTTAACCCCACAGATTTATGTTAAACAGGCGTACCAGCCTGTGAAAGTGTGCTCCAGATCAGCACCAGTGGCAGTGAGAACACTCATTTAAAGTAGCTTCATGAAATTGCTATAAGCAGCAGACATTGAGGTGAATCCAACTCGGAGGACAACCACATAAACATAATAAGCAGCTGCACCGTCACCCCAAAGACCTTCAGTAAGGTAGCCTGTCTCCAACAACAGCCAGCAGTAGAAACTGGCAGATATTACAAAGAAGTCCTTCCGTGATACTCCCTCCTAAATTCCAACCATTTCTTTTGGGAGTTTTGTGAGGCAACGTGTATCTGAGCTATCATGTTTCATTACCAGTGCTGGACCTATCCTCTATAAATTTGTTACATCCTCATCCTCAGCATGCTTCGTATTGGAGCCTTTTATTGCTATTACTGTGAAAACCACAATCACTGGGGGGAGGTAGAAATGTGTTCAGAGTAAAAGAATGATAATATTCAATAGTTTAAGACCAGGGAGACTCATTCTCTTAAGTGAAGCTGCAAAGAGGGTCAAGGCTTGCAAGAAAACCTTGCTTAAGCTGATCTCTCCCCTCTCTAATGGGAAGCAGAAATAAAGTGAAGGGTGATCTGAAGCAACTTGCCCCCATATAAGCCCTAGGGTCACGCACACAGATTACCTCTTGCCTGCAACAGCAGCTCCAGGCCCTCACTATCAGGTGCTATCTTCTTGATGTTTGGCAAATAGACATTGGCTCCAAAGTCAAGAAGCAGCTTGATGAACTCACGCCGGCAGCTGTGCCTCAGGCAGATCTCCAACAGAGTCTTGGGCTCCTTGATGCGCGCGATCATCCTCTCATCAGTGCAGTTGTAGTTGGGATCGGCGCCATAGAGCAGCAGCAACCTAAAGCATTCCAGGTGCCCATAGACAGCCGCGAGGTACAGTGGACCAGAACAAGCAGTGGAGTTGGCAGCCCACTCAGGCACCCTCGCTTGGACGTTGGTCTCGGCACCGTGCTCCAGGAGCTGCTGCAGAATCTCAACGTTCCCATCCCTAGCTGCTGTCAGCAGCGGTGAGCAATTGTTGTAGATGCTGCCAGAGGGACCAGCTCCTGCCTCCAGCAGCGCTTTCACACACTCCAAGTGGCCATTGCTGACTGCTGTGAAAAGTGGGGTTTGTGCCTTCACATCCAGACTGTCCACCTCTGCCCCGTGAGACAGGAGGACCTCCAGGCTCCTGAGGTGGCCCTTGGATGCAGCCAGGCGCAGCGGGGTGCTGGGAACACCCCAGCCACTCCTGTTGTTGATGACTCTCTTGTACCTGTCTTGGTGCAAGAGCTTATCAAGAGTTTGGTAATCGTCCTCAGACACCGCTTGGTTCAGCTCCTCACTTTCTCCACTATCATCTTCTTCTCTGGGCTGGAGCATGGAGAAAATCTTATTGATGTCCATTAAGCTCATTTTTTTTGCCTGTCTTCTGAGCACCACTTTCATTGTAAGCAGTAAAACCTGATGTCTATGGAACAATAACAAAGGTGAGAACCAGGTCTCTCTGACACCACCCTCACCTTTTCATTATTATTTGTTACACATTTAAGGAAGATTCTGAAAAAAAAAAAAATCTATTATACTTCTGACATGCATACCCTGCTGTCTCCATGGGTGAAAAAATCCACGCTGGTGAAGCATTAAGACTGAAGACACCTCTGTAGCATTCAAGTGGGCCACCTCCCCTTAAAATGTTGCAATCAACAATGTGCAAAAATAGATGAACTTGGTGTTGAAATTCAAAGGCTGCATGGGTGAACTCAGATCTTTTCATTTAAACCACTTAAAGTGCTTCATTTAAAGCACTTTAGTGTACAGCTTTACTGGTGCCCCCAGAGGTGATAAAGGGTATGGGATCACTCATGGGATACTCAAACCCACATCTCAAGAAGGCTTCTGTATGGCCACAGACTTTTGTGAGCATTCTACACCCAGCTAGTAAATAAAGCTGCCCATTTCCCCAGAACCTTCAGAAACCTCCCCATCCAGCTGTGCCCCATAAGTGCCTGAGAAAAGACCACGTGAAAAAACAGAATTTATTCTGCTTCATATTGAGCAGCACTCTGCAAATAGTTTCACCTGTAGCTGCATTTCTGAATTACTGAAACCATGGAATGCTCAGATGATCCAAGAGATGACAGTATTACTGGATTTTGCTCAAGAGCACACAAAAACAAGCACTCAATTTTTACACCCAGTTGAATTTTAAAAGGGATTGAATTTCAAAATAGGATTCCTAATAGAAGATGAAGCTGAGTATGGTCATGTTAAGGATTTTTAACACTGCACTTCCTTAAACTGTCAACATTCCAGTTCAGCACAGTGAACGCTCTCCTGCCTGCTCCAGCACGAGGAGCTGGGCTTCAGGAAGGACTGAGGATTTTCCATTGGCCATGCAAGGAAAAAGGAGAGGGGCACCTGAGAGTGTTACACACGAACCAGACCCAACGCCTGGGGATTTGCAGGGCCCAGCCCTGCAGCAGGGTGGCACCAGCACAAAAGGATGCAATAGAAACACTGCCTGCCAAGGACAGAAGAATTTCTCGTGGCATCGCAGCCCTGCAGTAGCTCAGGTTTCCTACAGGAGAGGCTCCATCTCCCCCACCTTGACACAGGAAAGAGCTGCACTGAGCAATTAGCCCTGTTCTGCAAATGTGCATCTGCTGGTAGCAAGGAAAAGCCACAGGAGATGTGTCCCACATCAGCCTTTGACGGAGAGGAGCGGTGAGCCCAGAGAGCTCCCCAGTGCCAAGTCAGCTCAGCAGCTCTATTTTTGGGTTAAGTAGAGCAAGTTTGATGGCAGCTGATGAAGGCAAAGCTCTGTTGCACTTCCACCTGTGAAATTAACCCAATCCATCTCTCTTGAAATAAGTGGAAGTATACATTGTCATTCATTAGACATTCTAATACCAAGAACTGGGGCTTTGAAGTCACCCGACCAACACTGCTAATAGTGTGTGAGGAGGGGTAGTTTGAGGACCTGCGGCATTAGGGTTATTAATCCTGGTCCAGAGAGAAAAAAACAGAGCTGTCACCTCTTGAGCTAAAGGAAATGATTCACCACCTGTGGACCCAGAAAAGAGGTTACAACTAGGGCTGAAAGAGACAAAAAGAATGTGTGAGTTCATACTCACGCTTTCAAAGTTCTGGCTAACAAATTACCTCCAATTACCCCAAGCTGCCCACGCATTGTTACGCTATTGCCTTACCTCTGCGAGGCAAGTGATGCTCACACCCAAGACAGGCAAAGCAGACGTGGTCCCATGGAGGATTCTTCCTTGGTTTAAATAAAAAAAGGGGAGGGGGAAGAGAAAGAGAGGCTCTTGCTCTGTCAGGGATGGACATCCACTCTGCGCAACTGGAAGGGTGCAGGCTGTCAAACTCACAGCTGAAATGCCACCAGAGGGATCAGGGCCAGAGAGCCTAGGCTAAATTTAGCCCCCACAGGCATTTATCTTCCCACTTCCATTCTTGGAAAGTTCCCACTGGGTAAATATAGAGAGGGGCAGCAAGGGGGGATTCAGACAGGTGCAGGAGGTTGCTTGACCAGGGGTATTTGCTCCAACCAGGAACCATCTTAATTTGTTTCACTGTTTCCTTGCTGAAATTACAGGGAACTACTCAGTTTTGAGTCCCTGTTGTGACCCAGCCCACCAGGCAGTACCTTGCCAGGACAGCCCACTGCAGCATTGGCTTCCACAGTATGCTGCTTGCTGCCCGTTATCCAAATGCTCTCCTCTTCACAGCATACTCAAGTGCTTTTTTCCACTTTCACGACAATGAAATGACCAAGTCTCCCCTCCCATCTAAATCTGCAAAAATAAGTCACTTATTTGGTTCTATAAAATTATGCAGTTTAAGTGTATGGAAAAGCAGAAAACTTTGTGGGGGCAAACAAAACAAAGAGGAAGGAGTATGCGGACTGTCTTATCAAAAGCTGTCAGCTGGTGAGTGTAATCTTATTTTACCCAGTTCCCCCTCAACCTTTTCCAGACTTCTCAGCAGCAGAGCAGGAGTGGTCTGATGGTTTGAAGCAGCACTATCAGTAGTACTAGATAAGAAAGAAACCAAATTACCCAGCAGAGAAATCTCCACTACTGCAAGAACTAAAATCAGGGGACTTGGGAAAATATCTTTCAAGTCCATCCCACCACACTCTGGTGAGTTTGTAGATGCACTGTGAAAAGTGTGAAGAGCAAGAAAATGTTAAATAATAATAGACTTTAAACTTTTGGCTTACTTGTAGTTTCCCTCTCTCCAAATTCACTTAAAATACATTGTTACTTCAAAAAGATCCTTTTCCTGAGGTCAAGACTAGGAAAGAAATTATTGAGAGGAAACATGGATAAACATCATGACAAAAGCTGGGAATTAAGTATTCATTAAACATCAAGAAGTTGCAATCAGACTAGGATTCTGCAGTCAGAAAAGCCAACCCTGACTCTAAAGCCATTCAACAAAACAAAGAAATAAAAGCAGTAGTTAAAAAGGCAGAGATAAAGGAGGAAAAAAAAGATACAGATAATAATCAATATACCTTGAAAAATATGAAACATGGGAAATTGTAAAGGAATTTAGACATGAAAAGAAAACCCTTGAATGGAAAAAATTAACAAAGAAATTGCATATTTTTCTGTGGCTGCTGCTGCTTTCAACCAAGAAATCTTAGAAACAAGACCAACTTTTTTTTTTTTTTTTTTTTTACAAGGAGCAGTGATAAATAAACCCAATACTAACACAGCAAAGAATTCAAAGTACTTGCTGAATAAATCCACCATTCAACTGGACAAGAGCAAATAGAAATATTCATTATGCTCCTTTAACAGCTGAAGAGCCAGGTTAAGTAGAATCTTGCATGAATATTTCAACCAGTAGCTTCAGATAAGCTCCAAACGGGAGCTTGAGGAGAGGTGGCTGATAAGTCAGACCTGTTCCTGTTAAGCTTCCTAACACCTCCAACTCTGGGGAAGGCTGAGAAGTCAGGATGAAGGACTCTTCTATCTGAACACCAAGGGGGCTCCCCCCCAGGCTGTGTCACCTGACACACACTCCAAGAAAAGACATTCCTTTGTCAGCTGTCCATTAATTGGGGAAGAATTAAAGGACAGGTGTACATTTAACATCATTCAAGGAGGTTGTTTGGAAGATCAGTCCTGCTCAATGAAGTCACTCTCAGAAAGATTAGTTATTAACATAGCTGAACAAAGTTAATGAGCTTTCTGACTTTACACTGCAAAGCATTCAGATTTAGAATTTCAGCACTAAATAAGTAACTTTACAGGGATTAAGGATTAATAGCAGTCCTGAAGGTCTGAAATGAGTGTTTACTGTGTTGGGATATTTCTGACTCCTCTCTTGCACTGTAAGTCACTGCAAAACAGAACACAAGAGCCAATTCAAACTTGGGGTTTACTTCTGTGCCCATTAAAATACCTGCTTGCAGCTTCCTGGCACTTGCAGCTGTCTGCTCGGCAGGTCACTGCCTTAGAAGTGGCTCTGGTGACAGTCCCCAGCAGCACTGAGATTCAGATTTTAGCCACGAGAGGGCACGAACACCTGCACACACCCTGCACTGCTCCTACCCGCACGGCGACAGCTGCTGGGGCGAGCTTTGGGATTTACACTCTAAAGGATGCACGAAATACAAAATGCGTACTTACAATCATCGTGAGCTCAGATGAGCTCACTGAACAGAAGGAGGAGCCATGAAACTCGTTATTCTTCCTCCATGAGCTATAATTCCTTAAAGAACTTGAGCCACAGAAGCCTGGTGGTGCTGACAGCTGCTCCCTGCGTTCCCTTCCTTTCCATGCTTTTTTCCCTTCCAGGCACCCTGGAAGAAATTTTAAATTCACTGAAGCCAGCACCTATTAACTGATTCCGGAATATGAACCTTAAGGACCTGAAATACAGAACTCAAACTCAGCGTGTACCCACTCTTAAGCAAGTTAATCTGTGTAACACCATAAATCTGCTCATCTCAGAATTCTCCACTCAATGTGCTTCAGGCTGGTAATGCTTAGAAGTTATTCATGGGAGAAGCGGGAGGCATCTGTTTTTATTCTGCAGTGCTAAAATACACTGGGTTTAATTCCAAAGCCTTGGGACAAAGTAAAACCCTTGTAAACTCCAAGCCATGCTATCCCCAAAACCACCTTGGCCCGGAGATCACAAATCACACGCTCAATGGAACTGCAGACTTTTGTGTTTACTCAGAAAAAGCAGATAAGATAGCAGCAATCACCTCTCAGTTGTGCACCGCTTCTCTGATCAGCAGGAACTGCCATGTTTACTGCCAACAGCTTTTAAAAACAAAACCAATCAAAAAAAAACAACAACAAAAAATCCCCCACAAACAGCAAGAGGAAGTGTTAAGTTTCTGAAGCGATATATATGAAGGAACATATGCACTCCCTGTTTCTCCACCTTCTCCCCTTTGTCAGGTAAGCTCTGTCAATGTCTTGTCTGTTTAGCTGCTCTAAGTACCTCACCAGTGAGGATGACTGAGACAAGAGCAGCACTTGCAAGCTTTGGATATACACAGTGGACTTTCCCCCTTCCCAAATTAGTGTTATTTATATAATTTTTAAAATCAATTCCTACTCACACTGTATTTCTTGCTCCTCTCTCCCATGGCTGAGCAAGCTCCCAGATCTATTTTGTTCTTGGGGGGAGGAAAGGGGCATCTTTTAGTAAATAGCATCCACTTTTCGTAAAGCCACTGCAATAGAGACACGAGAAATATGGTTCTGATCTGACTTACTCTTATTTTCTTATTTATTACTCCTAAGGCTACTTTGTTTTTGTCCCCCTCACATCTCCTCCAAGTGAAAGAAAACACGAATTAAAGGAGAACACTTGAATTGAAAGATTGCACGATAGAAATTGTAATCTACACACCTTCCACTTGTCATTAAAGAAACATGTAGAACAGAACATCATTTTTGAGAAATGAACTTCTTATTTCCAGGAGCTCCGTATTAACTGACCCATGCAGACCCACACAAGGCATTGCATGCATTTCCCATCACTAGTGAATAACTAAGGTGAAGATTCAGTCCTGTTACTGTACTTTGTCATCAGATGAGTTTGTCCTTTTATGCATAGGCATGAAGCTTTAACACCAGCAAGTTACTGCCAGCATCGTTAACTGCAAGGCAGCTGAAATGGAGGGAAAAAGAGTACGAAGTTAAATTGCTATCAAAGAAACAGAGCACTACTGCTCCAATGCAGAACTGAAATGAATCAAACATTAAGATCTTTGCTAAGTATGAACCTGAACCTCACCAAGACAGCATGCTAAATGTTTTTTTCTGTCTTAATAGCACACTTGTCTTCAGGACAGAGCTCCAGTTAAGTTTACAGATCAGTATTTTCATTCCATGAAAGGTATTCCCAGTGTATTAAAACCGAGAGCTCTTAAAACCACAAGCCTTTAGCAATACTGCTACAATGACTCTACATGGAATCCATCCCCTCTAAACCTAAGTTAGCTTAAGCAGGGAAGTTTTAAATCATCCTCAGCAAAGGCACTCTTAGACAGTAAGTTCCCCAAAAATGCAAATTACATCTTCATCTCTTTCACTCATACCATATTCATTCCATGCTAACAATCCAATTAGATTTTTCTAGCATTTAATTGAAAAAAATTTCACTGACAGCACTAGGAATATTTAACATTAGCAAAAATTTAAATCAAACATCTGAGGAATGAAAACCAACTGTTAGGCATATTTTTGGCATTAATTCACAGAAAATAAATATCCACTTCTAGGATGCACAGCGCAGTGGAAAGCTCTCACCAGCTGGGTAACAGGTGTGGGTTTTGGGCCCATTCCTGGTGTTCAGGGGCTTACTGCCCTGCTCCTGACTGGTGATGAAGAGCAGGCAGCTATTATTACATAAGCCTGAGTGTTTCGGTGCTAAACTGACCTGGTTCCTCCATCTCTGCTGCAGAAGCACACAGAAGGTCAGCAAGTCACAGCCCTGTGACTTGGTGTGTTTCCCCACTCCCTCTCCACATCTCTCACACAGTGTAAGCCTCCAAACACATCTTTTAGAAGCACCAGAACAGCCTACACTGCTCCGCCACGCAGATTCAAACTATTTACAATCTTATCCATGAGCAAGGGACAGTCTTCCAGGAAAAGAACTCTGAAAAAAATATTAGTTTTTAATAGAAAAAGTGATTTAAGACAGCGCAACAAAATGAACAGAAATATATTAAGATTCAATATCTCTTCATTAGCATCATTGTTAAAAAAAAGTACAGACACCAAGCAGTGCTGTATCCAACAGGCCCTCCTAAAACCAGGGATGTCACCTACTTTCTATTCTGAAAAAAAAAAGGGAAATCACACTCAGACTGAGATAAACTCACTACTTAAGAGCCTTGAGATGAATTTACATTTCAAGATATGAAGTTCTGTGTTGAATTTAATTAACAGACAAATCACCACCTTTAAAAAGGCAAGGGATTGATATTTTCTTTATAAGAAATAAAAATAAACTGCAATACAAATGTAACTCTGAGACAAATACATTTAGAGAAAGGACACAGTGCTCCTTCTAACATGGTACAACGTTTTTAAGCAGTGCATTAACTAAAATGACTTTCATGTGCACAGCCATTGCAGCACATTGAAGAATATGGGATTTAATCATACACAATTTTGTACAACTGTCCCTCAACAATTACAGTAAGGACAAAAATAGCAACTCACAGAAACAGCAGAAACATTCAACATTCTCAGCTGAGTACTATACACGAGCTTAGGCAAGTTCCTACAAAGATCACTGTGATGAAGAGAAAAGTACATATCTGTGCTCCAATACATATGATTAGATCCAGTGCTACAAGTTATTCCAGTAGTATGCTGCTACATTAAATACAGAGGCATATACACGCAGGTCAACATTATGAGAAGAAATCAGGTCAACCATTTTAGCCTACCTTCCTTCTGCATTGCTTCTGTAGTCCAGGAGATGCCAAAGGGACACAGCACTGCATGTTTAAATACTTACACTAACAAATTACAGACTGCAACTGGCACCAACCTGGCTGCTTTTAGTGCTGAAGATACTTAGAAGAACATGCACTTTAACAGGACCTGCTGCATGTTAATTAGAACAAAACTATTACATTCAGAACAGATCATTTCCTCCCAGCCTGGATTTCAGACATGGGAAATGCTCACACCTGCAAGAGAGACAGCACGTAAACAAGGAATTGCCCCAGCTTCTAATAATAGAACACACACACACACACACACACAAAGAGATCACAAAGTGATGGTGAAGGGGAGAAGAGAAACAATGGTCAATTTTTTTGGTCGCTCACTAATTATCATTACTAAGTAGTGCCAAGAAACTGCTCCTCTGGGGAGTAAGTGTCAGGCACTGCAGTTACCAAATGCCAGCTTTACCAGGAAAGGATACAAAGCAGCACCTGGCAGAAGAGCTTATAAATACTTCCCCTCACATTACAGGTTTGCCAGTTGCAAGGGTACTTTGCAGATCATGATCTCTAAATGCAATGGAAACAACAGACACCAGGTCCTTTACCAATGTGGTTATTTCAACCTGCAGCCCAAGATCTAATTCAAGGCAGTGACCCCACAGATCTCTGCACACCTTCAGCTGCCAGCAATCCCTCTCACTAGGGCTTGGAGACTACATATAGGAATTTAACCATGATACCACAGACAACCTCAAAGCAAGAAGCACTCCAAAAAAGGAAAAGTTCTGCATAAGCAGAAACCACCCACAGCAAAAAAGATCCCTCTTTCATCCCTGGCAAAGGAATCCAAATGGAAAGTAGCAAGTTCCACTGTTCAGTTAACAGCTCCAAATAAAAAAGTACTCATTGACTTTGCAACACGCAGATAGATGATCCACTAGGAATAAATAAGTTACAGGAACTTCTCACCTACACAGTGCTTGAATAAGGAGATTCCTATCAAACAGCTTTTAAATTTCCCTTTAACACTTTCAGGGAACATATACTGAAGTCCCTCACTACTGTCAGCAGGGCACTAGGATCCAGAATACAGGCTTCATGCAAGATGACTCCAGGAAGCCAATCCTACTTGGCCAGAGACCTGAGGACACACTGCAGTGCTTTTAACAGCTGTTCATTTTTTGGTCTTAAAACAAAGTCATCTTCAAAACAACAACAACAACAACACCCTCGTAGCTAAGCTAATGAGTTTTCAAACAAATAATCTTATGGAATTTCAAGAAACCCTGAAACATATTTCAACTCCCTTAATTTACAGCACCAGCATGAATGATTTTTAGTATGTTGTGGACTTTGGCCAAGTTCACATACATTAACTCCAAAAGCTGAAAGACTGCAGCTCATTACCCTCCTTTCAGCTAGGTTTTGCATTTCTAAGTACAAAGCCGTGCATTGATTACTAACAGCTCCTAAGTACTTTCAGTGCATAAAGTAATCTTTTCAGGGTTGTATGCTCCTAAATATCATCTTAAAGAAAGATTTGTGGAGATGCCAGTGTCCTATTTTAGGGATAAGCAAACATACTTGGGGAAAAAAGAAAATCTATGTTAATTCAAAAGACAAAGCAGTGTGTAAACATAGAAATCTTCTGCAAAATATTTGTATTTATATAAAGATTAACGAGTGGTGGCATATCTAAATTCCTCAGTAGTCAAGATTTGTCTACAATGATCCCATTTTCGATACAAAAAGCATAGAACCTGTTGACATCTAGAATAACTGGTGCTAAGAACTGCCTACCTTGGTCTCATTTACCATTTGTGAGTTATCTATTTCAGAAGCTATGCATACCATTCACTACTCCTGTACTACCTAGAAAAAGGAGTGCATCTACTATCTTGTTTGAACAAAGCTCCAAACTGCTAAGCACACATGTGAAATGAGCTTTTAGACTATGAAGAGACAAAAATTACTTTCCAGTGAACTACGGCAGAACTTCAAATCCTGTGCATTTAGAGCAGCGAGAGTAAGACATGGGTGTTATCTCTCTGCTTGATGAATACATGGATATTGCAAACAAGGGCTGGCAGACTATCTAGCTTAATGCTGAGCATGATTAGATTAATAAGATCTTTTCAATAGCCAAGAGACAAAACAGCAGATAATCTTGAGATTAAAAAAAGATGCATTTGGAAATGAGCATCCTTCAAAATAAACATAGCTGCTTGCATGATGCAGTACATAGCTGTGATGCTCAAAATATGCTGTGTGGGTATATTTGCTTGAGTGTATCTAGGTTCAGTACTTAAAGTACTTAGTTTTTAAAATCAAGCATACATTTATAAACCTTAAAAACAGCTGCTTTTTAAAACAGACTTAAACATTACTTGTTTTAAGGTTTAAAAACCTGTAACAATAGAAAAAGTAGAAAAAAGTTTTTCTTACCACTGTAGAAACTTTCCCCTGGTATTACCTTGTTACTTGAGTCCTTGGGTATGCTTAATAAAGCATTTTCCTCCCCAAAGGGAAGGATTTCTCTTCTTGGAAGTGTTCATCTTGAACACTGGAACTAACCCAGCCAACTCATGTTGTATGCATACCAACAATGGTTATGACAATGATGTTATGGAGTAATTGAATGTTTCTACTTTTTAGTGTAAATTGGGAGGATTAATTTTGAAACAAAATATTTTTAAGTTTCATCATAGAGATTCTGATTTAAACACCTAATG